TTTATCATTGTACTCAATAAATTTTGGACAATTCTATACCCTTATTTGCACATGGAGTATTGTTGTTATAAGGGTATTTTTTGTCATTAGAAGGGATGTGACGTGTGGACGACGTCACACCCCTCGTAAGGACCCAAAATACCTTTATTAAGAAAAAGCTTGATGTACTAAACAAAGGTATATAAATGTCCGAATTTAATTGAGTACAATGATAAATTACTCCATAGTGTGAGTACTTTAACATAACCATACAATCGTAACCGTACGATGAACTTTGGACAGCGATGAGGGTAGGCGAAATCACTGCTCATTTTCACGTATATACATAGTACAAAAAAAAAATTTTCTTTTATTTTTACTCGGTTTGGGTTGAAGTTACAAAATCTTTTAGCTCCTAAGATTCTCCCTAGCTTCCTCAAGAACGTTAAGAGCCTTTTGGCTTTATTTATGGGCCCTTTCACAATCCCACCGGCCGACTTGCCATGCTTTCACACAAGCCCGTTCACACTATAAATATATATAGTGGGAGAGCATATATATATATATATATAGAGAAATATATAAAGAGAGAGAATGTATATATATAGAGAGATGCTGCCACGTCAAGTCGAGCTGGGCGTTTTCTCTAGTTTTGTTCACGAGTCTCGTAAACATTTCCCACTAATATTCCTGTTCCTGAGAGTTGGCACCTCAGAAGAGTTGGAGCATTTATATTCATCTTCATCCATCTCCTCTTCATGAGATTGTATGTTAATATTATGAGATTCATGGTATTGTAAGAGATATGGATACATGGGTGCGGGTCTTCATGTTCATGCCACTCTTTCTTCTCCACCTCTTCACTCCTGGTAAACCTGTCACTAACTTCAAAACAAAGGGAACTAAAGTACTTGCTTTCCGTTTAATTCGGATTTGCTTTCAAATTGTTTTGATGTAAACTTGATTTTAGCTCTTTCATCATAGACTTTATATGGATTTGTAAGGGTGTGAAAAATTCCTCCTTCTACTCTTTCCAAGGATACTAATAATCAGTGTTATCAAGACCGGACATAATGGACCAAAATGACCGGTTCGACTGCTGTCCTATCGCAAAAATAACAGTTAGTTGAAAAGCGATCAAAATCGATCCTCATTCAGTTTTTGAGCTCTCAAGCTGGCTAGTTGAAAATGGCTGGATAAATTAAGAATTGGGCTTTTGTTGTGATGTGTTTCAAAAAAATATTGATTTATTCTTCCTAATTTTTTTTTATTGGGGAGTTTAGCAAAATACTCATGAGAGATAAATAATTGAACACTTTATCGATACTGTTTGATTTAATTTTAGAATATACATTATCATGAGTTGAAATAGTGACACACAAATAATATGTCAAGTAATATATCCTTACTGATATGTTGATAATTTTCTCATGCTACCTTATAATGTTGAACTACGAATGCCCCTCAAAAATCCATCAGAAAAGGTAGTTTTAATGTTGAAAAACCCTTTTATTGATCATCTCGACATCGAGATGTATGACTGAAAAATAAAAAGATTTTAAGTTTCAGAAATAGTGCATTTTACAATATATTCTCTACACTGTCCATTTTCAAGATTTTCATATATTTATAGATCTACTTGATTTTAACTATTTTTTAAATTTAAAATTTTATAATTAGATATAAAAATAGATTTTGAGATAATCCTAAGAACAATTTATATCAAAATTATATGTAGAAATGATCCTATAGGACCCTCTCCCACCCATGTGTGTAGGACCTCAAAGGATCACCATTAAATTTGGCATGGATAACTTTTCTATAGATCCGTTCCAAATTTAATGGTGATTCTTTAAGATCCTACACACATGGGTGGGAGAGGGTCCTATAGGATCATTACTCAAATTATATACCATGATAAATTTTGAAGGTGCACTTTACCTCTACACCTACGGATGCATCTGTATGCAAACTGCACCTTTTTTTAAAATCCCGTCCAACCAGTTAACCATCAACTAAATTGATTTTGACTGCACTAGCCCTCTCCAGTTTGGGGGCCAATCCGAATTTCATAATATTGCTAATAATCCACTATTTCATAATCGTTTTTTTTTTTTTTTAAAGAAAGATTAAAACCCAATTTACTTAGAAATGTTATTTTTTACACAGGCATGGGTGGATCGTTGTGGATAGATTGTGGAGTGGAAGAGAGTTACTTGGATCTGAATGGAAGGGTATGGGTGCCGGATCATTCCTACATCAAGTCAGGGGAGAACAAAGTCGTCAGAAGCGGGACCACCACCCACTCCCAAATATTCCTCACACTGCGTGCTTTCTCCTCACAAAATAAAAATTGTTACATTTTGCCTGTGTCCGGTGCTGGAGGTAGAGGCCCATACTTCTTTTCTCCGTTTTCCTTTTAACTTAACAAGGGGGCTAGCGTTTTAAAAATCCTAAAAATCGGGTTGGATCGGTGAATCAGCGATCTGGTTTGGAGAATTGATCAGATCGTCCGGTTTTGATATCAAAAAAATTCAAAAAATCATGTAAAATCCCTAAAATTGGTTTCAGTCTCTAAAAAAACTTTGCAGTGGTGCATTATGTATTGCTATTATTTTGTAAAAAACAGGTAAATATTGAGATGTCATTTCCATGTTTGGGTGTTTATTGACCATTGAAAAAAAAGTACTATAATTATTGTAGATATAAATACATGGTCCGAAATGGAGCTTGCAACAATTGAAATACAAACGAAGAATGAATATTGCATTTATATATTTTCATTGTTTTACAAAAATACGTGAATATTGATATACCTTTTGTTGTCTAAATGTTTATTGATATTAACTTTAATACTAATTATTGATACTAACATGCCTTTCCCACACATAGAGTACAATCGACTTGTTGAGGTATTTTATCGAGATATAAGGTTTGGTTATGTGCTTGGTTAGATAGGGCGTTAGCTATTGCGTAATTATGTCTCTTAGTTGGTATTTTACGGATGTAATTACACAAAACTATGACACAAATGCATTTTCCCTAAACATATTTTAATTTTTTGAAAAAATTATTTAAATGGTATATTTAAAAAAAAAAAACTTCAAAAAAATTTATTTTACTGAAGAGCATGAAATAGTACTCATAGCTTACAAAGTTTGAGAAATTACTTTCAATTCAATTTTATTTGGTATTTTCGTCAGATTAGTGAAGGCTCCTTGTTATGTAGATTATTAATATTACTTGTTTAGTTGTTTATTTACACTGAGAATTAAAAATTTGATATCTCTACTTTCAGACCAAATCACATGTGAATTAAAATTTACATTTGAAAGAACTTTAAATTCAATTTTATTTGTTAGTTTTTCTCATATTGGTCATGGCTTATTGTGATATTGGTTATTACGATATAATTTCCCTATAACGCTACAAAAAAGAAGTAAGGTATGGCTTCCCCATCTTCAAGCTAGGTCCGTTCGTTCAACGGTGTCCCCACAAGTGCTGTAACCCTTTTTAGCCTAATTGGCTACTTTTGTTTTATCCCACATCGGATATAGTGGATATTATTTGGGGGCCTTTCCTTTGTTAAAGGACAAGGCACCGTCTTGCCCTCTCAAGTCTCAATCCCTTGCAGCATGGACCCTCACAAGGATGCGTTTGCCCCTTGTAAATATATATTTTTTTAAGATAATTGAAAAAGTGAGTTCCCACCACTGGCTTGGTGCCAATAATTTTTTTTCTGGATCAGTCGTTTCCAATTTGGGTCGGTTTTTTTTTTGTTTTTTTTGTTAAGAGCAATGTTTGATGCATCCCTTACAACATACCTTCCCGTTAACCAACCATACATTTTGAATCGACGGTTGAGATGGCTATAAATATAATATCACATCAATACACTATTTTATTTTAAATGTTTTTTCTACAAAATATTTTGACACAAAATTTGGGGCGTCGACTCCTTGAAGTTCACACCTGTACAATATATAAAAAAAATATTCTCAATAAAATTAAATGACTAAAATACCGTATTTTGATGATTATATTTTATCGAAAAAGTATTTTTAATATTTTTTTTAGGTGTACCTCATTGATATGATGGAACATACCAAATTTCATATTCATAAAATATGCAGAAAAAAACTTAAAAATAAAATACTCTGAAGCATCAAATTTAGATCAAACGATCATAGGCTCACTTGATCTAAATTGGATGGCTAGATGAGAGGGAAAGTATACATCTTCTATACGATAGGGGAAGTACATAGACTTTTCCCTTTTTTAATCCTTGAAAGGGACATTTCTTCTCAAGAAAGAAGTTTCCAACAAAAGTTTTTTTTACCAGACCGTCGCTTCCTCGTGTTTGTTTTTTGTGCTTTTCTTGCGCTTTTCTAATTTTTGTGAAGAAAAAGGTTTGGTATCTATTTAGGTTAGAAAGTGGTTCCCTAAGCTAATTGAAATAATGCATAGGAACCTCGATTTCAACTGCAGATGGTTGAGAGATAATTTATAGCTCAATTTGATGGAAATAAACAAACGTAAGGCGTATGGAAGGTCCTTGATCTCCTATTCATAGCTCAAATTGATCGAAATTAAGAATAGTACCTTTAGGGCATGTTTGAATGACGATTAATCTACTCAATAGACTATCTTATCTGAAATGTATTTACTTTGCATAATATTGTTTTGTTAGTTGTTTGGTAAATAAATTGTATTATTTAATAATTTAACATTTTCAATGATTTTCAGCCATTTTTAGTTCTTTATTGTCAATAAGTACTCTGGATAAAGCAAAACCACTTTTGTACTTACATATAAAATTTCCTATAACTCTATCTCATATTATTTTTTACGGACACAGCCAAACAACTGAGAATTCTTTATCATTAATAATTTTATTGAAATAACAAATTATCAATAATAATAAGCACATCCAAGCAAGCCCATATGTCTATCTTGGAAGACCAGGTCCCATACTTTTCCTTCACCAACAAGGAATAGTGATCTGCCATTCCACCATAAGTTCATAGTCAGTAAAAAATATCAATTATTATTCTAATTTATTTTGAAATATCCAAATTTTTTAGTCTTCGCTAGGATCAATTTCATTTAAACATAATAATATTATTTGTATGTGGGTGTGGGAAACAAAAGATACACAAACAAGCAATAACTGAAACACAAAATTTTTATTTGGTTCACTCTTTCGAGATACATTTACAGGATAGGCAGTTAGTCCACTATAAACAAAAGATTACAAGTATTTGGGGGAACAAACCCCTTGTTCTAAGAGGCTCTCTCTCTCTCTCTNNNNTCTCTCTCTCTCTCTCTCTCTCTCTCTCTCTACTCTCTCTACTACTCTACTACTACTACTACTACTACTACTACTACTACTACTACTA